TTAAATTTTTTATTTTCAATTATATACAATTAAAGTTTTTACTTAATTAATATTTATTTATGTTTTTGAATTTTTTTTATTAAATATATTTTCCGGATAACAACACAATATATATATGAATTATCTTGTTATTTTTAAATATATATTTAGATTATGGATAATTCTTATCATTATTATTAATTTAAATCATTTATCTAATTAAATAAATATTAAATTCGTTTTTATTAGTGGATGATTTATATATTTATTCATTAAGGGTAATATCGATATTAACCACTCCAAATTTTAACGTGAGAGCTCCGTTGCGAAAAATCACTGCAAATAATAGTATAGATATTATTATTGTTCTTTAGCGTGAGGATAACCACCACAATTCACCACTGGGCCTATATATACACAAGCATATTGTAACATAGCAGCCAGTTTAATAAACTACCTCACTCTATTGTAACATATACACAAGCATATTGTAACATTAGATGGCGTCTACTGAAAACCCCGATCCAGAAACAGGCAAATCCGAACCGCTTCCGGCGTCCACTGAACCACTACCACCACCACCACCACCGTACTCAGTAACTGGTTTCCTAGACTGCCGAAAAATAGACATCATTATTAGAGTTCTGCTTTTCTCAGCCACACTGGTTGCTCTTATAGTAATGGTGACTAGCGACCAGACCGAGATGACTCAGCTCCCTGGAGCTCCATCTCCTGCTCCTGTCTCCGCCGAGTTCAGTGACTCGCCCGCTTACATGTCCGTCTTTAAACTAAACTCATCATTATAAAGACTTTGTATTATATGTTTTTTTTTTTCATTTAAACTTAACGTTACTATAAGTCTATAAACATGCGCATGCAGATACTTCGTGGTGGCTCTTGTGGTGGCTGGTTTCTACGCCTTAATCTCAATACTTATTTCCATATCTCTACTCTTACGACCTGAGTTCGCTTCACAGTTCTCCACTTACATATCTTCCTTTGACATGGTAACTTGTATAACAAGTAACTCTTCAATCTTCCACATCAACTTAAAGTTATTTAAATGTATTTTGCGGAACATATATGTACACGTGAGCAGGTGGTGCTAGCGATGTTGGCGTCTGCGACGGGAACCGCGGGAGGAGTTGCGTACATAGCGTTGAAAGGAAACGAAGATATTGGGTGGAACAAGATTTGTAATGTTTACGACAAGTTTTGTCGTTACATTGCAACTTCGCTTGCCTTATCTCTCTTTGCTTCTCTTCTGCTTCTTGTTTTATCGATTTGCTCTCTGTCCAAGAGAACAACAACATGAAACAAGTACTAAACCGTAATGACAAATCCTATCGATTCTAATGTGTGCTTTGTTCACACGCGTGTGTGTATTATTGTGAGTCTGGTTTGGTTTGCTCGTTATGTTATGTATATCTTTCTATCTTATGGTGGTTGTTGTAACTTGTGATCATAAGCATACGTTTCTGTCTAGTGACTTTATTTGTAGCTTAAATCAACGAATCATGTGATTTCACATATCTCTGTTTATAATCTTGCTATTTACACGAATTCCTCATTATTAAAGAAACACACACATACATAAAGATTTTCGAACTTCCTTTTACCGGATCAAAAAATTGTCCGTCATTTATTTATCACGATATATACATCAGAAATTACAGAAATACTTATATAAAGGTTTATAAAAATTCTACCAAAAAAGGTTTATGAAAACCAGTGCTTTTCTTATGCTGTTTTTGTAAACTTTATGCTTGTGCAGTTTTAGATTTTGTATATGTTGTGGATCTTTTAGGATAATTTATTATGCATTATTCCAACCAAACTTTGACTAAATTTTGACGTTTATGATTATGATTTAGAGTGTAGGGTCTGGTCTAATGTTTAAGACTTGTAATTTAAAGTTGTAGGTTTAGGTTCACTGATGTTTCACTAGCGTTTACTCGTTCAGTCTACGTCCACCATTACATGGTTAGGTTAGTTTTCTTACAATTCCTTAAAACTTTTATTCATGTTTCAATCTGGTTATCTTATGTAGCTATTGTTCATCTCTCCTTATTCAAATGGTGACAATTGTTATTTCTGATCCCAAATCACACAATTTAATAATTTCCCAACACTATAAACCCGTTAGAAAGGTGTGTGAAGCGTTGCTAAATTTAGTGGATCACAAGAATGAACAATCAATCATTTCACATTTCTAATTCGGAGTTATAGGATTAAAAGTTTACCCTAAGTCCAATTTTCAGAGGTATATAATTATATACACACATACATGTATCATGATGATGCTTTATAAAAGTAAAAATAATACACAAATTAATCAATTTAGCCAATTATGCTATATCACCAAATCGCCCTATTAATATTTGTTAACTAATATAATTTGTTACCATGTATATCTTAGATTCTAACCATAAAATTGTAAATGTTATTACAAAAAAAGTACATTCATCATGGGCCTCACTTAAGGCCCATTAACGTTTTGGCTCGTAACTGGTCGCGCCAAAGAAAAATTGAAAGCAAAATAAAAAAGAATAAAAACGAAATTTGCTTATATCACCAGTCAATCAAAATCAAAGGGATGACGTCTCCGCTCCCACTGTAGACGACGAACTGTTTTTCAGACAGAGACTTGAGAGAAGTTGTGTTGTGTTTTATAGAAAAAAAAGACGCGGGATTTTTTTTCTGTCCTAGGGTTTTAACGAGATCAGTAACATGATGATGTTCAAGGATTGTGAAGTCGAAGTGTGTTCCGAGGAAGAAGGGTTTGCAGGCGCTTGGTTTCGAGCCGTGTTAGAAGAGAATCCAACAAAATCTGGTCGTAAGAAGCTCCGTGTCCGTTACTTGACTTTGCTAGACGATGATGGTCTCTCTCCCCTCACTGAGTTTCTCGAGCAGAGATTCATCAGGTCGATCCCGCCGGAGGAGATGCAAAACGACGTCGTTTTGGAGGAAGGAACTTTGGTTGATGCGGATCATAGAGATGGGTGGTGGACTGGTTACATCTTGAAGAAGAGAGCTGATAGTGAGAGGTTTCTTGTTTACTTTGATTCACCGCCTGATATTATTGAGTTCGAGAGGGATCAGTTGAGGGCTCATCTTGTTTGGACCGGGTGGAAATGGGTCGTACCGGAAAAGAAGGTACGAGGTTTAAAGTTTGTTGCTTTATTACAAAAAGGTTGAAGCTTTTGAATATCTGTGACTCTGTGTTGTTGCATGTTGTGTTTGAATTGTTAAAGGTCTCTCTTTTTAAAACCGTAATAGAGATTTGTATTTTATCATTGTTATGTTTTTTTCTTAAAGTTTGGTGCTTTGTTACAAAAGGTTGAAGCTTTTGTTGTCTGTGTTTGTTGCATGTTATGTTTGAAATGTTAAAGGTCTCTCTTTTTAAAACCATAATAGAGATTTGTATTTTATCAGTGTTGTGTTTTTTTCTTTCTTAAAGTTTGCTGCTTTGTTACAAAAGGTTGAAGCTTTTGAATGTCTGTGTTGTTGCATGTTATGTTTGAATTGTGAAAGGTCTCTCCTTTTTTTATATTTTAAATGGTTAAAGATCTCTTCTTTTTGTTTGTTTTGGAAGGAACTGGATAAGTCTATGTATTGCTCAGGAGCAATGGTGGAAGTGAGATCTTTGAGAGAAGATACTGAACCTGCGTGGTACCCGGCATTGATGGTTACAGAGATTGAAGTATCTGATGATGATGAGAGGAAGTTCACTGTTAAGGACTTTAATCAGCAGTTGAGCTGCATTGGTGGCGAGGCAGCACCAAACATAACTGTTGAGGCTCACAGGGTTAGACCCGCTCCGCCTCCTTCCTCCTCCGTTGGAGAGTATGAGTTGTTGGAACGAGTAGAGGTGTTGCATGGTTCTGGATGGTGCCAAGGGTTAGTGAGGAAACTTCTCACCGAGAGATGTTACTTGGTTGGTTTAGAAGTTACCAAGGAGGAATTTGTATGTAAACACTCGCAACTTCGACCCTTGATGGTGTGGGAGAATGGGATTTGGCGTAACGAATCGAAGGTACTTTCATTTATTTCAATCTAAACATTCTGTTAACATTTTGGTTTTGAAGCTGTTATGTCCTTTTCCATTTTCAGCAAAAGCCCGTGAAGGAGACTCCTTCCAACATCTTAAACAAGAATCCAATGCACTCTTGTTCTGGTCCTAAGCCTTTCACTAGAGTTGAAACTGTGGATGTGAGTTTGATTCTTAGTGATTTCTTTTGTTTCCATTCATGTCTTTAATGTTGTTTTGACTGATGTTTATCAAATATAGGCCACTGTAGAGTTGAGAACGAAGAAGAGGGCTGATGTTGTTATTATTAGTGATAAAACTCCTACGGTCACAACTACAACACAGCTGATACAAACCGAAACTGAAGGACAAAAATCCTCTGAGAAGAGACTTGAGCTAAAGGTAAAGTTTAGTCTTCGTTAGAAACACAATCATTCTTGCCTCCTTTGTGGTTATTTATCTCTGAAAAGATGGTTTTACTCTCTTTTTGCAGATGCCTGAAGAGAAGAACAACAAATCTGGTGGTAGAAAAAGGCAAAGAGAACAAGAACAACACAAGGATATGAATGAAACTGGTATGTATACAACAGCCATGTTAGTTTTGGTATCTATTTTTTTTTCTTGCGAAATCTGCTATATGCAATTATGGTTATGTTGATGATAGGAAATGCATCTACTAGCTCGGAAGATAGGGTTAGGAAAAGCGGACAAAAGGTATATAATTTTCATTAATTTCTCTGCGTTTCTGTTTATTGATATGAATTGAAGTAGTTTTGTTATTTCCATCTTTAGCAAAAAACTTTAAAAGAAACTCCAAAGAAGCCAATGCGTTCTTCTTCTGGTGCTAATGAGAAGGCTACACAGCATGTGAAGAAAACCCTGAATCCACATCACAGTGAAGAGAACAGCGCTGTGAGTTGTGATTTTTTTTTCTATCTCTTGCTAGCTGCTTATTTGTGTTTCCTTTCATGTCTTGTTTTACAAAATTTGTTAACTGAAAATAGGCCACTGGAGAATTAGGAAAGGATGGTGTGATGAATGATAAAACCCCGTTGGTTATAACAACCCCAGACGTGATGGCAATAGGTAAGCCTGATACTCTTTGTCTCCTTATGTTTAATTTCTGCGTCATGAATCTCAAAATCTGATATATAATGTCATTGTTTTGTAGCGAAAGAATATGCATCCCCTTCTTTGGTCATAACTGCAACACCATTGAAACAAACAGAGGCCAAAACTGTTGTAGCAAATACATCCCCCATGGAGGCACCTGAGCAGCCACCTGAGCAGCCAGTGATGAATCTGAATGATATTGGAAATGATTCAACTCCTCATAAGGTAATTAGTTCGTTGTTTAAAATATAGTTCAGTCTCACTTCCTTGCTAGTGTTAGGTTGTGTTTATCTTTGAATGGTGGTTTTTATCCAGACTCCTGAGGAGGAGAATAGCAAAGCTAAGAGCAGGAAAAGGAAAAGGGAACAAGATCAACACTCAAACCTGAATGAAGAAGCTGGTATGTGTAACTGTAAATCATCATTAGCCATATGAGTTTTGAATATCTTTGTTTCTTGCCAAATTTTTAATCATGTCTTTGGCTGTGTAACTTGTAGATGGGAATAGCAATGTTTCAACTGCTGAGATGAATGATACAGCAAGTAAACATATGTGCCACGATGGTGAAGTTGTAGATCAGCTTATCTCTACTTGGATAGAAAATCCATCTACTGGTAATGAAATCTTTGCTGAAAACAGTTTCATTTCTTTTAAGTAGCTTAGATGTATCCTTTATAACAAAAGTTGGTGTACTATATGCTAAAACAGTTTTGTTTTGTTTGATCTATCCAGAGCTGTCTCCTGATCAGAGCTCAAACATGGTGAAAAATTCTGCTTCTGCTGCTACTTGTGTTGAGGAAACACCGGTCAGAGACACTCTAGTTAATTTGCCTTTTACAAAGATGGTGCCATATTGGAAGACATGTGAGTCATCAGATGGTTTCAAGTCTGTTCCACAAAGGCCTCACTTCAGCCCATTGCTTGAATCTAAAGACGATCCCGATCACCGTGAGTGGTTAGCTGTTGGCATGATGGTGACCTTTTATGACTTGCTAAAAGAAGTGAAGCGTCTGAAGCTTGATGATCCCACAAGCAACCTCAACTATCTCATGGTGTCATTTGCAAAACTAGAGAAGCATGGTTTCGAAGTTGAAGCTCCACAAGCAGCAATCAACAAAGTGTTGTCTCTCAAAGATGTGTTAGCTAAGAAGGAGGAAGAACAAAAGCGTTTGAAGGACAACATTGAAGAGGAAAAGAGTGGAAGTCTCAAGTTAGAAGAAATGAGGGTTGAGTTGAAAGGCAAAATCAGTGAGCTGCAACGCAAAATCAGTGAACTGCAGAGAGAAGAGGCAGTTGCGGAAAAGAAGAAGGAAGCAGCTGATAAAAAGATAGATGAGATGAAGGCACATGTGGGAATGATTAGCCAAGAAATTGAAGATGTGGAGATTGAGTTTCAGAAAACTATATTAGCTCCATGGTAACAAGTTATATATAACCTCTCCCTATTTTGGTATAAATGAAACGAGTAGATGAAGTTAATATAAGAGTATGTCCGAGATTGTTGGCTTCTCTAAACTTTTAAGGTTAACAACCCTTTTGTAGATCTTTAATACTTTATGATGATGATGCTGTTTTGTTTAACTCAGAGATAAATCTGTTCACGTACCATATAATGGGAGCAGTTTTCTTTTTCTCTAGTTCATTTACATGTCTTCACAGATTTAAAACTTTAGGTTACACTACAGTTATCTTGACATGAATCTAACATTCCCATATTTCTCGCTGGCGTCAAATACATCGAGAAAATATATAATGGTAGTGAACCAAATCCAGACAAAGCTATCAACGGTCCTAAGATTTAGGCACCATTTACAGACAACATTTGCATGTATTTATGTATTTGCATAAATACATCAAAATTTACTGAAGCAGTTTTACCGGAGTTTATGAAACCAAGGATTTTCTTGTGCTAATTTTGTTAACATTATGCGTATGTTTACCATTACAATTTTTTTTTTTGGGTCAAAATTTACCATTACAATTTATGTTTTAGATTTTTACGTTAGGGATCTTTAAGGATAATTTATAAACATTAATCTAAACTAGTCATGACTATATTTGCTCCAAAAAAAAATACAACTAGTCATTGACTATTTATGGAGTTTATGATCATGACTTAGAGTATAGGGTCTAGTTTAGTGTTTAAGACGTTATTTAAAGTTGCAGGTTTAGGCTCAATGATGTTTTAGGGTCTAGTTTACTCTTCAGTCTTCACTCTACGTCCACTCGTCCATTATTACATTTTTTTTTGGGTAACTGGTCCATTATTACATGTTTAGGTTAGTTTTCTTTCAAATCTTGAAAACTTTTAATTATCTATAAATAATTTAAACTGTTTATCTTATGTAACTAACTAACTAATGTTCATCTTCCTTATTTAAATGGTGACAATTGTTATTTCTGTATTTAAATCATAAATGAAATAGATTTCTTTTTACATGTCTAATAGAGTAATAATAGGAACCTTTGTGATTGAAGTTATAGGATTTCAATTTTTAATTTTTTTTAGGATTTTAATTTGGTTTATAAATTAATTGTAAACATATTACTGAAGTACAATATTTTCAGATGTATATATATTTATAGGCATGATCTTTGTAAATATAAAAGAATCTGAAAAAAAAAACTTCACTAAGTCTTGCATCACGTTTTAGAAAGGTTGATATTTCAAAATTAGTTAATTTTGTCGATTATGCTATATCACCAAATTACCCAATTAATATTTTAACCAACTCTAAAATGTCAAAATAGTATATTTTAACATGCAGACTTTAGATTCGAACCATATAAGGTTGTATATAGGAGATGGGAACAATTATAATGTGGTGTTACGTGTAAGTACATTTTTAGTGGGCCTCATTTATATAGGCCCAATATCTTTTTGGTTTCATGATACACCTGACCACGCCAACGTAAAGTGAAAAACAAAATGAACGTTTAAAAAATTGATCAATCAGAGACAGTGAGACAAATCATAAAGACGTCTCGTCTCCCTCTTTTTTGCATGATAGATTTGGGAAGTTGTGTGTTTTTGAGAATAAAAGCGGGCTTTTCATCTTTGTAAATTTCTACGCTTTTCTCTCCACTTCACTACTCTGTGAGTGAGTAATGAGCAGCAGCAGTAACAATGAGGTTGAAGTTTGTTCGAAAGAAGGCTTTTTGTTTCGAGCCGTCTTAGAGGGGAATATCAAGTTCGGAAGGAAGAAGCTCCGTGTCCGCTACAAGACTTTACTCAGTGATGATAATCTCTCTCCTCTGACTGAGTTCATCGAGCGGAGATTCCTCCGGGCAGTACCGCCTGAGGATATGCAGAGCGGCGTCGTTTTGGAGGAAGGAACTGTGGTTGATGCGGAGCATAGAGATGGGTGGTTGACCGGTTTCGTCTTGAAGAAGAGAGAAGAAGGTGAGAAGTTTCTTGTTTACTTTGATTCACCACCTGATATCATGGAGCTCGAGAGGAACTTGCTTCGTCCTCATCTTGACTGGGTCGATTCAAAATGGGTCGTACCCGTAAAGAAGGTACGAGGTTGTGGTTTCTTAAAGTTTGCTGTTTTATTACAAAAGTTTGAAGCTTTGTCGTCTTTTTGGTTTCATGTTGTGTTTGAATGTCAAAGGTTGTTGCTTTATTACAAAATGTTTTCTTTTTGGTTGCATGTTATGTTATATTTGAATAGAACTTAAAAGTCTCATTTTTATTTCGTTTCATTTTTATAGTTAAAATGGTTAAAGGTCCTCTTTTTTTTTTAGTAACGGTTGTGAATAGTAACTCCTCTGTTTTTTTTTTTGTTGTTCTTGAAAGGTACTGGATAACTCTGTGTTTTGCTCAGGAGCAATGGTGGAAGTGTATTCTGTCAAAGATAAAACATGGAACCCGTCATTGCTAGTTACAAAGATTGAAGAAGATGGTGAGATTAAGTTCATTGTCAAGGACTTTAATCAGCGGTTGAGCTGCATTGGTGGTGAGGCAACACCAACCACAGTTGTTGATGCTCACCGGGTTAGACCCACACTGCCTCCTTCTATGATCTTTGGAGAGTATGAGTTGATGGATTGTGTAGAGGTGTTGCGTGGTTCTGGATGGAGCCAAGGGTTGGTGAGGAAGATTCTCTCCGAGAAACGTTATTGGGTTAGTTTAGATGTTAGCAAGGAGGAGTATGTGTTTAAACACTCAGAAATTCGACCCTTGATGGTGTGGGAGAATGGGATTTGGCGTAATGAATCAAAGGTACTTTCATTAATTTTAATCTAAACATTTCTGTTAACTTTTTGGTTTTGAAGCTGTTTATGTCCTTTTCCATTTTCAGCAAAAGACCGTGAAGGAGTCTCCTTCAAACATCCTAAACAAGAATCCAGTGCACTCTTGTTCTGGTCTTAAGCCACTTGCTAGATTTAAAACTGTGTCTGTGAGTTAGCTTCTTAGTGTTTTCTTTTGTTTCCATTTGTGTCTTGAATGTTGTTTTGACTGACAAACTTTGTTTATCAAATATAGGCCAAAACTGTAGGAAATACATCCCCCATGAAGTCACCTGAGCCACCAGTGATGAATCTGAATGATTTTGAAAATGATTCAACTCCACATAAGGTAAGTAGTTTAAAATATAACCAGTCTCACTTTCTTGGTAGTTTTTGTGCTTATTATATTATCTTTCATGATTGTTATTTATCTTTGAATGATGCTTTTTTTTATGCAGATGCCTGAGGAGGAGGAGGAGGAGAAGAGTAGGAAAAGGAAAAGGGAACAAGATCAACACTCCAACCTGAATGAAGAAGCTGCTATGTGTATTAGCCATATTAGCTTTGAGTATCTTTGTTTCCTTGCCAAATTTTTAATCATGTCACTGTTTGTGTAACTTGTAGATGGGAATACCAACACTTCAACTGCTGAGATCAGTGATACCACAAGTAAAACTATGTGCCAAGGTAGTGAAGTTGTTGATCAGCCTCTCTCATCTACTGGTAAGGAAACATTTTCTAATATACTAAAGCATTTTTGTTTTTAAAAGTAGCTTAGATGCATCCTTTATAACAGAAGTTGGTGTACTATATGCTAAAACAGTTTTGTTTTGTTTGATCTATCTAGAGCTGTCTGCTGATCAGAGCTCAAACATGGTGAAAAATTCTGCTGCTGCTGCTACTTGTATTGAGGAAACACCGGCCAGAGACACTCTAGTGAATTTGCCTTTTACAAAGATGGTGCCATATTGGAAGACCTGTGAGTCATCAGACGGTTTCAAGTCTGTTCCACAAAGACCTCACTTCAGCCCATTGCTTGAATCTAAAGACGATCTGGACCACCGTGAGTGGTTAGCCGTAGGCATGATGGTGACCTTTTATGACTTACTAAAAGAAGTGAAGGGTCTGAAGCTTGATGATCCCACAAGCAAGCTCAACTATCTCATGGTGTCATTTGCAAAACTAGAGAAGCATGGTTTCGAAGTTGAAGCTCCCCAAGCAGCAATCAACAAAGTGTTGTCTCTCAAAGATGTGATAGCTAAGAAAGAGGAGGAACAAAAGCGTTTGAAGGACATCATTGAAGAGGAAGAGAGTGCTAGTCTCAAGTTAAAAGAAATAAGGGCTGAGTTGAAACTCGAAATCAGTGAGCTTGAGAGACAAGATGCAGTTGCCAAAAAGATAAATGAAGCAGCTGAGAAAAAGATAGATGAGATGAAGGCACATGTGGGGATGATTAGCCAAGAAATTGAAGATGTGGAGGTTGAGTTTCAGACAACTATATCAGTCCCATGGTAACTTGTTACCATGGGACGAGTAAATGAAGTTGGTAAAAGACCATATATGTCTTGAGATTGTTGGCTACCTCTTATGGTTGTGTTTTAAACTTTTTAAGTTACTAGTGTGTTGATGATGGAATGGTAGCATGTTTCTTTGCCTCAGATCATTTACATGTCTTGACAAGAATCTGACAATTAATCTAACAAGAATCTAAAAATTAGTTCAAAATATTGTATAAATTCAAATTAATTTGTGTAAGAATTAATACATTATTTAGAAAATACTTTGCAAATGAAATTAAATCTAATAGAAATTTCATCTGTATATATAATTATTTTGTGCTTTTAAATAAAATATATATCTAATTTGTGATGATTTTTAAAATATTTATATTATTGACTACAATATTAAAAATATATATTTTTAAAGATGGATTTAAAAGTTAGTATTTTTGTATTTTTATAATATAATTATTTGATAGTTAAATATATCGAATTACTATTGATTTGGAGTAATTGAAAATCCATAACAAAAGGTGATGCATGTATATAAAATATTGATGTATTATCTATATTGATGATTCTGATTCTGTGAGGTCTTAATTAATTCGGCACACCAAATTAATTAGTATTTGTTGGTTCATGTTTAGTTCAGATTCCGTCAAATTCTTTATTAAAATATACTTAAAAAGTATCTGAAAATATTAAGTTAACTGAAATTATTCAAAAATTTATTCAAAATTTAACTTAAACACATGAAAATATTCTAAATTTTATCTGATTATCCAAATTATATTTTTGAAAATCTAAAATTTTACATGAAACTCAAATGTTTGAAAATCTAAAATTTTTGACAGCTGAGACTGAGAGAG